GGTCCTGGGATCGAGCCCCACATCGGGCTCCCTGCTCGGCGGGAAGCCTGCTTCTCCCTCTCCCACTCCCCCTGCTTGTGTTCCCTCTCTCGCTATCTCTCTGTCAAAAAAATAAATAAAATCTTAAAAAAAACCCACAAATAGTTAATTGGCTTAAGAAGAGATCCAGGCCGTATGTTGCCTTCACACGAATTGTTCAGAAGAGACCAGGTTATATTGAGCCCTTTGCCTAAGAAAATTCCCAAGAACCCCTTTTGTCCTAAATAAAAGGCTCAGTCTGTGTTATTGAAGCGCATACAAATGACTGGATAGATTTTCACCGATTTGGAAGGCATGTTGGGGATGGTTTGCCTTAAAATAGAACTCCAGGGAGCCCTAAAAGAGAGGTGTCAAGGAGTTAGGTCATTGTCTTCAAAGCAGCCCAGTGTGACAAAGTGAGCCCTGTGTGGCTTGCCTCCGGGGAGAAAGATGCCCTACATGTCAAGATGCGATGGGCAGAGATAACGACCTGGTTTCAAATTCAAACTCAAAATCAAAGACTTGAGTACGTTTTGGAAGAGTCCTTTCTGTCCCCGGGTTCGAGACCTCCAGCTGAGAGCCCGGGAGTGAAGACGCTAGTTAGTTTGTTCTTTATTTTCACTGGAACGTTATATGGTTACTTATCAACAAAATGACTGTCCAGGGCAGAGATATCCAGGGGTTTCTGTGTACACGCCCATCCCTGGGGTCCGCACCTCCACAGGAACCTCACCCGTGAGGCCTCAGCTGGCTCCCTCCCAGGCCTCCAGGAACCAACCACAAAGACACAAGAAACAAAAACCCGGCCTGACCTAAGCACCTGCTTTCACCGCAAAGGGAGGTGGCGGCGGCTGGTGTGGGACGCAGGCCTATTCTCAGGGTAGTGGGTGCAGGGGCCTCTCTTCCTGGGAGCCTGCCCTTCATGCGCCCCCCCTCCCAGGGAGGCTCTCTTGGACACTCCTGGGACGACTCTGACAGGCTCATGGGTTCCTGCTCTGGCCTTCTTTTCTTTCTAGCTGTCATTTGAACACTGAGGCATCTCAGCCTCCCATCCTGGAGGATAAGCGTTTGCTCTGTCGCCTTTTCTTTTTGTCCCTGTTTTTGTACAAAAACAACCATACTCTCGATCAGACCATTTTTTTGCCCAAGAGACTCAAGCGGCTCAACAGGTACAGTTCTGCTGGTCAATCTGCTTCCGGCAGGGCTCCATGGTGACAGCAACACCCACCCCGCTCCGGCCCGATGTCATGTGGGTCACCTCACTCCAGGTGTCTGTGTCTGGGTCGTAACACTCCACACTGTCCAGGAACGTGTGGCCATCATAGCCTCCTGCCGGGAGAGCAGAGGAGACAGTCACCCCCTCTGAGGGGAAAGAAAGAGGGAGAAGGCACCCCAAGGAGCCTTCCTCCTGGGATTTGAGCCCGCCCCCCAAAGATGGGGTTAATCTGTCTTCTCCACCCAGGCCCCCGCCCCCAGGGCCTCACCGAGAACGTAGATCCTTCCCTGGTGCACAGTAATCCCCAGGGCACTTCGCCGATGCTTCATGGGAGCTACAAAACTCCACGTTTCTGTCTCCACATCATAGCGCTCCACGCTGTTGAGCTGGTCCTGACCATCGTAGCCTCCCGCAGCATAGATACAGTTGTGTAAGACACAGACTCCTAAAGCATACCGTGCACAGAGTGACTCCAGGGCCTGGCTCTGGGGGCCCCAGGCCCCACCTCCCCTCTCCCCTCTCCCCTCTCCCGGGGTGCCCTTCAGAAACAAAGCCGGAAGACAAGAGCTCCCACCATCAGGATCTAGCTCTCCTGTGCGTGCCCCAGGGTTTAAGACTGGAACGGGAAGCCTCCCCCAGGTCTTGCCGAGTTTCAAGCCCAGGAGTGGGAGAGGGTTCCTCCACGCTCCCCTCCCGGCAGTCCCCACCCACCTGCCCCACTCCGGATGGTGTTCATGGGTGTGATCATCCGCCACTCATTTCTCTCTGGGTAGTAACACTCGGCTGAGTTGAGGCGGTTTGTTCCATCAAAGCCCCCGACGGCATAGAGCAGACGGTTGAGGACCGCCACTCCCACCCCGATCCTTCGAGTCAGCATTGGGGCCACCAAGTGCCACTCGTCCCGCTCTGGCTCATACCTGCAAGGGCATAAGAACGATGACAACAGCGATCACAGCTGACCTGTGTGGAACACTATGACCCGACATGCGGCTAGTTCCCTCTGCACTTGAACTCTTTACTCCTCATAGCTTTTCTCTGAGGAAACAGGTTCACAGCCATCATCTGCTCAAGGTCACCTGCACGTCTGCTGGACGCTGGTGGTAGCATGACCATACACCACCTGCCAGGCCCTGTACTGTGTGTTGTTAGCTCCCCAAAACCCCACTTAGCCGGTCGGGCAGGTGGTTATCATCTCCCACTTCCCCATCATCTTCAGACGACAAGACAGAAGCACAGAGGGAGAAAATGGCATGTCCCGGGTCACCAAGGAGGTGGGGCTAGGGGTATGACCCAGCCTTCTAGGACACCAGAATCCTAATTCTAACAACTAGGCTACCACCCACGATGGTTTTTTTCAAAGTGTGGTGTCTGTTTAAAATTCCCATTCCCCAGCCTCGCTCGTTCCAAACCCACCAATGCTGGATCTCCAGCAGTGGGCCAGGGAGTTTGTTTTAACAAGTTCTCCAGCTGAGAACTGTATCATGGATCACGCTTCTGGAAGAGGAGAAAGCAGAGGACTGGCTGTGCAAAAGTTGGAAGTCAAAACTGCTCAGCCTCTAAACACAGGGTCACCACGCGGTTGTGTAGGTTGTGCACTGCACAAGGGGGCACCTTCCACGTAGAAGACCTCAAACATCTGTTTATTATGGCAGTTTGGGGGCAGACGGCAGTGAGGTGTCATGTTGTAATAAAATTAGCGTTTTACAACAACTTCAAACTGATAGAACTCTTTCCAAATCTGCAGTTGTTATGGGTTTGTGACAGCCCTGTGAGCAATTCCCAGGCCCAGACACATCATCCAATGTCACTGACCATAAATCTCCCATGGATTTAGCTTCACCTGAGGCTTCCACTCCCTGAAGGCAGAGCACAGAGACAGGCACTCAACAACAGGGGGAATCCCCAAATCCCAATGGGTTCGGCCCTTGTTAGCAATGGGAACCTCAGAGCCCACCCCTCCGGGCCCTGCCACTCACCTCTCCACACTGTTGTGGTGGATGCAGCCATGGGAGCCACCAACGGCATAGATGTGCCCATCGATGACCCCAACCCCGATCCGATTGCGTGGTACGCTCATGGGGGCACAGGGCGACCACTGGTTGGTCATGGGGTTATAGCAGTCCAGCGCATTGGAGTCGGTGTTGCCGTCCGGCGAGTTGTTCCGGCCACCCACAGCATACAGCAGCCCGCCCACGACGCAGCCAGCCAGGCCACTGCGAGGGACCTGCAGGTCTGCCAATCGGAGCCAGGTGCCATCACTGGGGTTGTAGGCCTCCAGGTAGCTGAGTGACTGGCGGAAGTAGCCACCAGCGGTGTAGATGAGCCGGCCGACTTTGGGCGCCCGACAGGGCATCACCTGCGTGGGCTTATGCAAGGTAAGCTCCTGGAAGATCTTGACCAGGTAGTCCTTGCAGCGGGAGTCCGACTGCAAGATCTCGCACTTCTGCAGCTGCATCTGCAGGAAGTGGGGTGTGAGCGAGTGGCAGCGCACAGCCCGGAGCAGCGCCTGCACGTAGAAACGCCGCTGCTCACAGTCATACTTGACCCAGTTGATACAGGCGTGGAAGACCTCGGACTCGCAGCGCACGTTCAGATCGTCTCGGCTGATGAGCGTCACCAGCTGGCAATGGGACAGGTTGAAGAATTCCTCTTGCTTGGCCACCTGCGGAGGGCATTACTGTGACAGGCTGACTCCCCTCAACGGCGGTATGATCGCAGACAAGTCACTCAACCTGCCTCTGACAATCTCAGTTTCCTATTTTGTAAAACGGGGATTCAAATAGCATGAACTTCGTAGGTTGTGAAGGTTAAATGAGTTAATACTACATGCCAGGCATATAGTACGTAAGGACTCAGGCAAATGGGCAAAGACACAATGTACTATGTACCTTTTTGTATCATTTTGTGCTTGAACTACAAGATTGTTACCTTTTTTTAAACAAAATTACTTTTTCAAAAGGGTAGATTGACTAAAAAAGGAAAAAGTAATAGCCATAGAATATTCTAGAAAAGTGTAGGCTCTAAAGAAAGAAGTCTGAGCTGCAACTTGGCCCACTACTTTCTAACTAGGTGATCTTGGGCAAATATCAGAAACGCTCCATGCCTTGGTTTTCATCCTCTGTAAAAGAGGGATTATATTAGTAGCTACCTCATAGCTGGGCTACTCCTAGGGTATCCAGGGCCCCAGGCAAGTATTTCTTGTCAGGCACCAGTCTATATAAATAATTTCAGTCACCCGACATCAACAGGTCACCAACACTCTGGTACCCCAAGCCCACGCAATCCCTTTAAAGAAACACTGTGCAGGCCTGTGGAAAAGCCCTGCTCACAGACCACCTTCCTGGAAGCCATAGGCCCTCGGACTAATGCCAGCACTCCTCATCTGGTCAACCCCACATGTGGGGTAGAGGGAAAGAGAACATCTACCCCGTAAGGAGAGAAATGGAAACCAGGGCGGTATCTACCTCAGCTGATCCCGGCCACTGGAGGAAGACTTTGAAAAGTTCCAGGAAGGCCCTCTAAAGCACGGGACCCCCTAAGGCGTGGGGCCTGGGGTACAGCCCTGTTGGGCCACACCTTAGGGTGGTACTTCCTCATAGGATAGTTGGGAAAATCCAATGATTTAAAGAATGGAAATCACTTAGAACAGGGGTTGGCCCACAGCAAGTGCTCAACAAACACGTATTATCATCATCATCCCAAGGGCACAACGTCTAGTGGCTGCCACCCAAGAATTTGGGCTCATCATTGTGATTTTACAAGGAATCTGTTATCTTCTGCTCACAACTTCCTCCACTTAAAAACGAAAATGAAACCAAGAACAGTGTAAGGACAACACTGCGCTGACCAGAGAAAACACGTCTAAGGGTCACATTTGAGGGAAGCAGCATGTCATGGGTGTTTAATAAATATTTGCAGACTGTCTGAAATATCGGGCCCTCCTTTAGCGCACCCCAGGGTTGAGCTGCTGTCCGTGTTCCCTGCACCCTTCCCTACTCTTGGCCCCAGAGAAGCCGGGGAGCCCAAGACAGACCCAGGAAGCTCTCACTTTCCTCAGCTGTTTCCCAGAGTCACCCCAGATGTGTAGACTAGGACCTCAGAACCCCATTTTTCTCCAGCTCCCTGATCTGACCCTTCACATCTCAAGGAAAGACAGGGATGTCCAACCATCTGTCCCTGGTCCTTCTGATCCCGCCCCCAAGCCCTGGCTCCATGTCTCCTCCGGTCACTCACCTCTCCGAAGTGCATATAGATGTATTCGCGGGCGCGCTGATGCAGCTCGGCGCAGCCGATCTGTTCAGCGAAGTTGGCAATGCCAATGGCGTTGCTGGGGTCCAGCTGCTGCACGAGGAAGTCGCTGCAGGCGCGGACGACGCTGTCGATCTGGTACATGACGGCGCCATTCATCACGTGGAGCACACACTTCTCCCCCATGGAGATGGAGGCCGTGTAGGCAAACTCAATGAGGCGCTCCATGACCTTGGGGTGGATGCCCTCAATGGACACCACCTCCATGCCCTGCTCCCGCAGCCCATTGGTGAACATGGCCTTGAAGACGGGGCTAGATGAGGCCAGCACCACCTTGTGAGCCATGAACTGGGCGGCTGGCGCGTCCTCATATTTGACCTGCAGTGTGACATCACAGAGCTGCTGGCTGAGCCGCAGCTCGTTCATGATGCCAAAGGCCTGCTTGGTGTGGTCCTCCAGCGTGTAGCTGAAGGTGCGGTTGCCGTGCTGGGAGGGCGTCACCTCGGCTTTGCACTCGGTGGAGGCGTACATCACCGTGTCCCCTGCCCCCTCAGGGCGCTGTGACCTCAGGGGAAGGAATCGCGTGCGGGCCCCAGCCCCGCTAAGCCTGGGTTCCGGCTGCATGGGGTTCCAGGTGACAAGGGACAATACCACCACTGGCACTCAGAGGCCTGGAGGAGGGAGAGCACAGGGCTGGGGGCAGGGCCTGGGGGCAGGCCTCCTCTTTTTTAAGATAAAGCGACTCCTAGACCAGCTTTCCTTCCCAAGCCCAGATGAAGCAATGTCCATTTGTGCTCACTAACTGCCACATGCCTCAGAGCCCAAGAGTCCATCTTAAAACACAGGTCGGGTGATGTCCCTCCCTTGCTCAGAATCCCCCTATGGCACAAAGAGTAAAACCAAACTCTGCAATGTCCTACTAAGCCGTACACAGTCAGCCTCTGTCCACCTCTTTCCTTTGCTCACTCTGTTCCAGCTAGCTGGTGGCCCTTCCCTTCCTAGATAGAGCATGTCTAGCTCATTCTTTCATTTACCTCACCAACATTTATTGAGTATCTACTGTGTGCCAGGCACTGTTCCAGGCACTGGAGACACAGCAGTGGAGAAAGGCAGACATAAACTGTGCCCCCCTGGAGATGACACTTGGGGAGAGATGGGCCATAAGTAAAATAAGCAAGACTTGAGTAGAAATTGCAGTTGTGAAGAAAGGGATAACAGCGTTGGGATAGTGTGACTTGGGGCAGTTAGTTTAAATCGGGTAGTCCAGGGCTCTGTTAGAGCTGACACAAGAAGGATGTACATGTGAAAGGGGTTTTCCAGGCAGAGGGAATGGCAAGTGCAAAGGCTCAGAGGCCTGAGAGAATGAGAGAGACAATCTGGAGAATCAGGGAGGAGTATAATGAGAAATACTACTAAAGGGTAGGTTTCCATGAAACCTGTAGGGTCCGGAGGGCCAGGGCATGAGCTGTATTTTGAAAGATCCGGCTGGGAGAAGAGGGGGATCTGCAAGAGGCTCCCCAGGTTGGCCATTTATCTTTCCCGGACTCAGAGCAGAGTCATCTCCTCCCTGTTTTATTTCAGCCACAGCACTTGTCAGAAACCGAAATGAGCTCCGTGGCTTGCGTGTTGAAGGATGGCCCATGCCTCTGGTCCTCAGCCCCAGGGCTTACGAAGGCAGGGAGCCCCGTGTAGGTCAGGGCTGTGCCCACCCTCGCATGTGCTCCCCCACGTCCTGCCTGGGGCCTAGCTCAGGGGTCAGTAAGCGAGTGGCTGGCTGGCTGCCCACTCCCCTGTGCCTGCCAGAGCACCCTCCTCCACCGGGCCCAGGGCGCCGCTTGGCCGCCTCTCCCCGGCTGAGGCCCCTGTCCTGCTTCTTGGTCTTTGGCCAGTCGGTCAACGGTGCCCCTTGGACACTGGGCACTTCCCCCCTCCCACCCACGAAGCGATAAGCGGGGGACTGCGCATGTCCTGCCTGAGCCGCCACCAAGGCCTGGAGAAGGGAGGAAGTGACCCCTGCCGCGCGGCCTTTCCACTGCCAACCCCAAGGCCCCGACCGAGCTCCCCAGCGCGCCGGGCTCCCGGGCCCTCGGTCCGAGGGGCACTCCCTGGGCCTCTCGCCCGGCTTGCGTAGCTCCCGGGCCACCCCTCGAGTCGCGCCGTCCAACAAAAGCCCAGGACTCGAGCCGCGCCCTCCTGGCCCTCCGCGAGGCCGCGGGACCCCCAGGGCGACCGGACCCGCGGCGCCCCGTTCCCCGACCCCCGGGGCACTCCCGGCCCGCCGTTCGCACGGCCCCGGCGCAGGGCGCCTCACTCACCCCGCCATGGCCGCGCTCGAGCTCCGCCTCCGTCGCCCAGGCCCGGGCGCCTCCATCGCTGCGCGCCGGGGGGAGGCGCGGAGCGCGCGCAGGTCACCATGACTAAGCAGAGCCGGGCGCAGGCCGTGTCAGAATAAAAGTCCCCGCGGCCCCGGGCCTCCGGCGGCAGGGAGGGCAGAGGGGCCGCTCCCCCCGCCCCCGCCGCCAGTCACCGAGCTGCGCAGCCCCGGCGCGGCGACCACTCCGCCCGTCAGCGCGGCGCGGCGCAGCCAGCCGCGTGGTCCGAGCCGCGGGGAACCAGAGCCTCGGGTTCGAGGCCCGGCGCGCCCCTGCCTGCACTGGAGATCGGTGGACAGCCCTACCGGCCGGCGCGCTCACCTCGGCCCCCGCGTAGCCTCGTAGCTCTTGCCGCGGGGTGGGGGTGCCCGGGGCACCGAGGCGGCTCCCGGCACAGTGGTGCCACCCGCGCGCAGAGCTTCCGGGAAACCCGAGGGTCCGCGGCCCGGCCGGGGGCGGCTCCCGCTTAACTTTCGTTATGGGGCGCCCGCGGGCGCGTCCGCAGTCGGGGGACCTTGGCTCTGGGGGCGGCAAGGCCTGCGGGGTCTTGGACGTCGGGTGGGGGGCGGCCTCGGGTCCGCCGGGAAGGAGGCGGGGAGAGGGCGGAGAGGCGCGGTAGGGAAGGAGCCGGGATTCCCCGCCCTTCCCGCAGGTGCCCGGTGCCCCTGGGCAAGGAGCGGGCGAGGGCGCAAGGCCGGGGGGTGGGGGTGGAGGGGGCGGCCCGGTCTGTCCCCACTTCGCACTGTCTCTTCCATCCGCCCAATTTCGTCACCTCGGCGCGTGCCTCCTCTCCCCCACGCTCTCTTCTCCTTTTTTAATTTATTTTATTTTATTTTATTTGTCAGAGAGAGAGAGCGCGCGCACAAGCAGGGGGAGCGGCAGGCAGAGGGAGAAGCAGGCTCTCCGCTGAGCAGGGAGCCCGATGTGGGACTCGATCCCAGAACCCTGGGATCATGACCTGAGCCGAAGGCAGGCGCTTAACTGTCTGAGCCACCCAGGCGTCCCCCGCTCTTCTCCCTTTAACCCCACACAGCTTAGGCCTCATGGTCCAGTGGTCGCAGGATCCTGCTTGAATTATTTACCTATTTGGCTTTTCCTTGTCTTTATTTTTTAGTTACCTCCAATCTAGAGGCGCGTGAAGCTGGCCTACAGGGGTCTGAGGCCTGGCTCTGCCACTTTCTAGCTCTTCAGGGATAGGTCCATAACTCAACCTGTTTACACTTCAATTTCCTCCCTGGAAAATGGTAATAATACTAGCACCTACCTGCTAGGTCATCCGGAGGACGAAATGCAGATGCTAGTGCCCAATAGATAGGAACAATTGTTATTTTTCATGGCAAGGGATACTGATTTGCCATTTATGCTGATTATGATATGAAGTTCATTTTTATTTTTTTTAAATATTTTATTTATTCATTTGAGACACAGAGATACAGAGAGAGAGCATGAGCAGGGAGAGAAGCAGGCTCCCCGCTGAGCCAGGAGCCCAAAGCGGGGCTTGATCCCAGGACCCTGGAATCATGACCCGAGCCGAAGGCAGACGCTCAACCATCTGAGCCACCCAGGCGCCCCTGAAGTTCATTTTTAAATGTACTTATTTTTAAAAGAGCCCATCTAAGCCAAACTATGGGAGCAGCCTAAGTGTCCATCCATAGATGAATGGATAAAGAAGATGTATATATTTATATTATTCAGCCATAAAAAAGAATGAAATCTTGCCATGTACAACAACATGGATAGAGCTAGGGGGTATAATGCTAAGCAAAATAAGCCAGTCAGAGAAAGATGGATACCATATGATTTTACTCATATGTGGAATTTAAGAAACAAAGGATGGGGCTCCTGGGTGGCTCAATTGGTTAAGCATCTGACTCTTGATTTTGGTTCAGGTCAAGATCTCAGGGTTGTGAGATGAGCCCCACAATGGCCTCCATGCTGGACGAGGAGCCTGCTTAAGATTCTTATTCCCTCTCCCTCTGCCCCACCCCCTGCTTAAAAAATAAAAAGGAGGGGCGCCTGGGTGGCTCAGTCGATAAACGTCTGCCTTCAGCTCAGGTCATGATCCCAGGGTCCTGGGATCAAGCCCCGCTTCGGGCTCCCTGCTCCACAGGAGGCCTGCTTCTCCCTCTCCCACTCCCCCTGTTTGTGTTTCCTCTCTCGCTGTGTCTCTCTCTGTCAAATAAATAAATAAAATATTAAAAAAATAAAAAATAAGGAAAAAGAGAGAGACAACCCAAAAACAGACTCTCAACTATAGAGAACAAAGTGGTGGTTACCAGAGAGGAAGTGGATGGGGGGATGGGTGGACTAGGTGAATGGGATTAAGAGTCCGTCTATCACGATGAGCACTGAGTAATGTATAGACTTACTGAATCACTATATTGGACACCTGAAACTAATACAACACTGTATGGTAACTACACTGGAATCAAAGTTTATTTTTTTAAGATTAAGGATCCTGAGCCAAGGCAGATGCTTAACCGTCTGAGCCACCGAGGCACCCCTCAAAATAAAAATGAAAAAAAAATATTTTTACAGCCCCTGGGTGGCTCAGTCGGTCAAGCGTCTGCCCTCAGCTCAGGTCATGATTCCAGGGTCCTGGGATCGAGTCCCGCATCGGGCTCCCTGCTGAGCGGAGAGCCTGCTTCTCACTCTTCCTCTGCTGCTCCCCCTGCTCGTGCTCTCTCACTCTCCCTGTCAAATAAATAAATAAAATCTTTAAAAAAAATTTTTTTTTTTAGAGAGAGCACGAGCAGGGGAGCAGGGGAGGGTCAGAGGGAGAGATCGAGAATCTTAACCAGGCTCCACACTCAGCAAAGGGGCCAGTGCGGGGCTTGATCTCATGACCCCGAGATCATGACCTGAGCCGAAATCAAGAGTTGGAAGCTTAACCAACTGAGCCACCCAGGCGCCCCTAAAATTGTTTTTTTAAGAAAGGCTATGTATCTTTGAAGAGACAACCAAGGATACGACGCTTTCAGTTTTCTAATAAAATGGCTTCATAAAAATTTAAAAATTTTAAAAAAAGTATCTCATAGGAATAATTCTTGCCATATGTGATATACATTCATTCCTGAAAAGCTAGATGATAAACTGACCCAAATTTCAGCTGTACTTGGGAAGTCTGTTTCCTAAAGATACTCTATATTAAATCTTCTTTAAAAGAAAAAAAGAGTCCATCTAAACGAAAACTAGGCGAATAATCGAAGGAAATGCCAGGCTAAAAAGATGTTGGTCTAAGAAAAGATTCTGCCAGCCTTAGGAGTGAATTTTAAAAAGATTCAACATCCCTGCTCAAGTCTAGGATTAAATCCAAGCCAGAGGGTGGAAGGGGGTGTTGCGTGAAGCTGCAGTTCTGGGCTGCTCCAGAAGGGGCGCCAGAGCATAGTCAGCGAATAGGCAGTGGCCCGGGGTTCCGCGGAAACCAGCACCTTCCTAGAATGTGTCTGAAGCAATCTCTCCTATCTCAAAATCAAACCTACAGGCCCTGTGACCCAGTGATACCACTTGTAGAGATTCATCCAAGGTACACTTGTACACGTGCAGGAGGATGTATGTACACGGATGTTTATTGCAGTACTGTGTATAAAGGCAAAGGATTGGACTCAACCCACGTGGCCCTCCATAGGATCCTGTTGTAATTAATTCCTTTCCATCCTGTGAAATAGTATAAAGCCAGTGAAAGAGATTAAGACATTTGCCTTATGGATGTTTATCTTGATTAAAAAAAAATTTTTTTTTAGTGCTATGGATTGAATTGTCCCACCCCCCCCCCCCCCCCCCCACAAGAACTATATGTTGAATCCCTAACCCCCAACAAGATGGTCTTTGGAGATGGGGCTTTGGGGAGGATGAGGCCATTCAAGGTGTGGCCCCATGATGGGCGTAGAGCCCTTGTAAGAAGAGACACCAGAGAGCTTCTTGATTTCTCTATACCATGAGAGGACACAGCAGGAAGGTAGTCATCTGCAAGCCAGGAAGAGAGTCCTCACTAGCACCAGATAATGCTGGTGCGCTCATCTTGGACTTCCAACCCCCAGAACAGTGAGAAATAAATTTCTGCTGTTTCAACTGCGCAGGTAATGATATTTGTTATGGCAGCCTGAGCCAACTAAGACAGTAAGACAGTACAAAATCTGTGGGTGTGCAACAATTCCAAGATATACTATTAAGTGAAAAAGCAAGATGCAAAGCAGTGCTAAAGTTGTATAAAAAAAAGAGAGAAGTTTTTTGTTTGTTTTGTTGTTGTTGTTTTTAAGAGAGAGGTGTTTACCTGTCAGCTCATTTATCCACGGAATAGCTCCCCCTCCGAAGGAGCCAGACACGAGGCCGGTGCCTCTTAGGTCCTGGGAGCCCGGCAGTCTGGGTTAGTATCCTGGCTCAGACACTAGGCAAGGTACTCACCGCTTGGAGGTTCTTCATCTGTCAAATTGGGGTGAGGAAACCACCTCACAAAGTTGCAGTAAGGGTGAGGAAAAGGTGTGTCCTGGCCTACCACCGTGCGGATGACTAGCCAGACACAGTAAGCTGTAATTGTTCTAATTATTATATTTTTTACTTTTTTATGAAGGATCTGACACCACACTCAAAGAAATCTTTTTCAGATAGGAATTGGCTGTCTCTCACAGTCAAATTTTAGTTTAGGGTGCCGTGTTTTTGGCATTCTCTCCTCTAAACTTGATTCATTTCTTTCTCTCACGCCCACACTGAATTCCTCAGTAATTCCCACCTGCTGTCTCCAAAATCTATTCAGAATCCACATAGTCTGAGGCCCCATCCTTGCTCTCCTGGGCCAGTGCAGGCACACCTTGTTCTAGCTTTGACCTTCACCCTTACAGATGTTCACCCTCTGTGAACATCTCAAGCAAATCAAGTCTGTCCTCCGCCTCCCACTTCACTCAGAGAAAAAGCAAAGTCCTGGACGGGGCCCACAAGGCTCTGCCCACTCTGCCCCAGCATTTTCCTGCCTTTGTTTCCTCCCACCACCCCCCTCCATTGTTGCTTTAGCCGCAAAGGGGATCTTTGCTTTTCCGAGAAAACACAGGCATGTTCCAGCCTCAGGACCTTTGCACTGCTGTTCCTTCACCCTGCCAAGCTCTTCTTTCAAATGTTCCCAGGGCAATGACGTCTCAGCTTACATCGTATGTCACCACTTCTGCAGAGAAGCATCCCCTGACCACCACCGCATCACTGTATTGTAGCTGGAATCATATCCGTGATGTCTTCACCCTGTTAGTGCCTGTGTCCCCCATCAGAATGTCAATGCCACAAGGGCCGTGATTTTTGTCTGTTTCATTTACTGCTGTGGGGCTTAGCATAAATAAAACGCGTTTCCCTTGGTCTCTTCTGCCGCCACCATCTTCAGCTGCTTTTCCTACAAATTCCCTTATTTAAAAAGAAAAAGTCTGCAAAACAGCTCTCGGGGAGGGTACTGGCAGGCCAAAGGGCGTCAGTCAGTCCGCGGCCGGAGCGGGTACCAGGGTCCGGGCGGCTGTGGGCGCCCCAGGGCCGCCAGCCGAGCCGCTAGTGTCCAGCCCGTCCCGCTGGGGTGACGAGCGCTCGGAGCGGCTGGAGCTGCCGTCCAAGCCGGGGGGCAGCCAGCGGTTCAGGCCTCCCGAAGCCCCAGCGGGGCTCCCGGACGCCTGGGAGGCGTCCTGCCCTCTGTGGCAGGGGCGGCGGCCGCAGCAGACCAGGCGCAGGAGAGCGAAGCGCAGGTCGCGGTTGGTGAGCGTGTAAATGATGGGGTTCAGAAGCGAGTTGGCCATGGCCAGGCCCAGGAAGGGGTCGGCCTGCAAGAGCACGGGGCAGGCGCGCGCGGGGCACGCCACGTCGAGCAAGAGCAGCAGGAAGAGGGGGCCCCAACACACCACGAAGGCCAGGAGCACCACGCTGAGCGTGCGCAAGAGCGCCAGCGAGCGCGGCGTGCGGCGGGCCCGGCTGGAGGCGCCCCCGGCAGCCCCGGGCCGCTCCCGCAGGCGCCGCGCGTTGGCACGCACCTGGCAGTAGATGTGCGCGTAGAGCGCACAGATGGCGGCCAGGATGCCGAGGAAGGCGAGCACGCAGAAGAGCACGTAGGCCTTGGCGTAGAGCGGCAGGACGGTGGAGCAGGTGTCCAGGCGGCCCAGACAATTCCAGCCGAGCGCCGGCAGTAGTCCGAGGAGCAGCGACACGCCCCAGGCGGCAGCCGCCATTGCCAGCGTGCGTCCCCGACGCGCGGCGGGCGCGGGTCCTCGGCGGGCCATGGTGAGGCGGCGCTCGAGCGCGATGGCCAGGAGGCTCAGCACGGACGCGGCGAGCGCCACGAAGACGCCACCTTCACGGGCGAACCAGAGCGCGGGCGACAGGCGCAGCGTGAGAGGCCCCGACAGCAGAATGTTGGCGGCGTAGGCCGCGCCCGCCAGCAGGTCGGACAGCGTCAGGCTGCCCAGGAGCAGGAACATGGGCGCGTGGAAGCGCGGGTGGCGCCCAAGCACGAACAGCACGGCCAAGTTCTCGAGCACGATGAGGGCGCACACCGCCAGGCACACGACGGCGTCGGCACGCAGCCCCGCGCCGGGCTGGTAGCGTGCACCGCGAAGCTTGCCAGTGTAGTTGTAATGCAAGACGATGACCTCGCTCACCGGCGCCGGCCGCAGCAGCCTCGGCTCCATGGGCCGCTTGCCCCAGGGCTGCGGAGAGGTAAGGTGTAGTAAAAGGCCTGAGGAGGCGGGCACGGTGGGGCGGGGCCTCGGAGCCCTGGGAAAGGGGCCCTCACCCCCTACCCGCCACTCCACACTTACCCCGGGGCCCAAAGGGAGTTAGGGATGGAAAGGAGGTGGCCATGGAGACAGGCCGACCCAAAGACACGCAAATAATATCACGAGGGGACATGGTGACAGAGTCCCCCAGGAAAGGGACACGCATAAGTCACACATCATCAGGGCTGTCCAGGGGCAGATTCAATCGTAAGCAGACAGGGACGCACACACGAATACAGTGACACACCGCCAAGAAATGTACACCCAGTCACAAATTACAGCAAAAATACACAGTCACACCCATAAGGGAAACCAGAAAATGTATTCACACTTGAGCAGAGCGACATAGACAGAGACACACAGGGACCCAAATTCAGCCACAGAGAGGGTCAAGCCCAGTCGTACAGACCAGTTTCACAACCTCCGCCCACAGCCAATCTGGAGCCTAGAACCTCACAACCTCCGTCCCACGCTGCTCGCAGGGCTTTGTGTGCTGCACACACTCCTTCATCCACCGCAAAAACCCCATTTTACAGAGGCAGAGCCTGAGGGCAACAGACAGGATCCAGAAGGCACAGACAGGCTTTTGCAGAGGGGCTACACGTATCATTAGAGTGTAATAATACTTCCCGCCCACGACTTCACCCTCTAATCTCCTCGACAGCCTTCCCCTTAGTCCCAGTTTACAGACTGGAAGCTGTGACTCAAAAGTTCCTCGCATAAGAAGCGGACAGGAAGGTTCTCGTGTTTCAACACAAATACAGCTACTCAGAAATGGTTACACAGTCGCGCGAGTCCCACTTAATAGATGAGAAAATCGAGGCTTGGGAAGGGAAACGGACTTATTTGCCCAGGGCAGGAACAAATGCATCCCGGGCGGCATCGGTTGCACTCAGGGAACCTTGCGCAAACACAGCCCCAGGGAGTCACGGACTCAGCCACGCTGCGGGGAGGGAGACATCAGATGCATGCAGACACGGGTGACGCTCTGATGGGGACACCGAGCATAGGCTCACAGCCTCTGCATCTCCCGCCTCGCCTCGGATTTCCTGGAAACAGGACTGGAGGAGCGAAGCTTGCAGTGTAGCCAGGAGAGGGCGAGGCCGGGGGAGTCCAGGCGCCCCTACCCCGATCCCCGCCCCCCCCTCCCCGCATCCAGCCCGGAAGTTGCCGCTTTCCCTCCCAACTCCCCACCCCCGCCCCCATAGACCTCCGGGGAAATCCAAACAAGGGGACCGGGGCTGCGGTCGGGGCAACCCCCTGCGGGCCGGGCTGAGCCCCGCGCACCTGGAGACCCAGGGCAGTGCACTCACCCGTGCGCCCTGGTCGTGCGCCCCCGGCAGTCGCGCGGCTACGAGCAGAGTGAGCGGACGCGGCTCGGGGGGCGGGGCTGGAGCTGGCCCGCGAGGGGGAGGGCCCACAACGCGGACCTCTGGCGGTCGACAGCAGTCGCCCCCTCCCCTTGGGGCCCGGGCACCCAGCCCATGGCTGCCAGCCTGTGCCACCCGCCGCGGCACCGGAACGCGCCCCGTCGGCGACTGGCACCGGCGAGCCCTTGGCTCCCCCCTTCGGGCCTGAACTGCTCTCCTAGGGAGGCTCCGTCGCGGTGGGAGGACCCCGAGAAGCGGGGAAGGGGAGGTTCGCAGCGGGGGCGGCCGCAGCCTGAGCCTCTTCCCGCCCCCCAGCAGAGGGGTCCCGTCTGTCCTCTGGGGCCTGGACACTGGTTGCTGCCCACTTCCCGCCTACCTTCCAGCTGAGCCTCCGGGCTGCACTCCAAGAACGCCCCGTCGGCGACGGACCCCCCGGCAGCGCAGGTTAGGAGGGGTCTTCAGCCGGGCGGCGGGCGATAGCCTCAGTCCCCTCACCCCAAGCAGTTATGTCCAGGTGGCTCCGGGGCGCAGGCCCCTCTCCATTTCCCCCGCTCCTACGCCGGGCTTAGAGGGAGTTGGGGAGGCGCAGGTGAAAGTAGGATTCTGGTGGGAACCTCCTCCCCAGATGAGGGAGATCGGGCTCATATGCCCTCCTGGCTCCCCCCACCCCGTCTCTGCTACCCTTATTGCTCCCAACGATGTGATTTACTCATTTAACATATTTCTGGGCTATGTCCCCACCAGACGGTCAGCCCCCACGGAGGCAAGGGTTTGCGTCTGTCGTGGGCACTGCCGGGACACAGCCCAGGCCCAATAAGTTATCTGCCCAGTGAGTGAATGAATGAATGAGTGTACCCTCGCTTTCTGTGTGTGTATCTCTTTCATCGGGTCTCTCCGGGTCTGTCTCTCTCCCTGTCTCTCTTGTGTCTCTCTCAGTGGTTGGCTGTGTCTTTGTCTATGTCGCTCTCCCACGCCTCTCCCAGGCCTCCGCTCCTCCAACGGGCCAGTCCCAGCTGGCCCCACACCCCCACTCCCAGTTCCCAGGAGTTTCCTGGCCAGGCGCAGTTCCCCCACCGTCAGACCAGAGGCTCCAGCCAGGAAGGGGGGCTGGGCCTGGTGGCTGCGACCTTCACCGCGATGGTGCCTTTTGACTCAGCCGTGGGTGACATGAGGGTGTCCCAGGGGCCATGAGGGGAGGATTGGGGGCTGCCCCCAGGTGAGGGATCATGAGGGGCACCCAGGCCTGATCATATCCTTATGTAGCCCTTTGGGGATCCCTGAGGCTTCTACCCCCGCTGTTCCTTGGGGAGACAGAACGGTTCCTGCCTGCTCCGACCAAAGACACAGGCAGGGCAGTGCAGTGGGGCTGGAGTGGGGGGATGCGGAACGCTTGGGTGGTGGTGCTCCACAACCTTGCCTTCCAAGCCAGCAGGGATGAGCCCTGAAGATTCCCCAAATGCAGTGGGGCCACCCAGATGCTGGATAAATGACCCCCTTCTGCAAAAGGGAAGCCACACCCCTCTTGGGAAGATGGCCTCTTCACACCTCCCTGGGCTCTATGCTGTCCAGGGCCCTCCAATCGCCACCCACCCCCCACCTCCTAGTGCCTCTTTTCTGTAGACTGGGACCCTGATTTCTCCAGCAGATGTCAGGAGCCTGGACATCTCTGTTCTTCCGCCCGTATCCACCATTCCACACCTGTGGCCACAGTTCTTAATACTCAGATCAGGTACCTCTCCTGCTGTAAATTCTCCCATGGCTCCCTAGGTGACTCAAAGTAACTGCCAAAGTCCTCACCACCATCCCCATGGCTCTGCTTGGTGTCTCCTTACTTACTTCTTTGCTATCCCTGCCTCCAGCCATCCACTGCCCTCCATCCCCGCTGGCCTCCTCCCAATTCCTCACACGCTTCCAGGACTTTTGCACTTGGGGATAGGTCTGCCCAGAACACCCTTCCCCCAACCCTTCCCAGCTGGTCACCTCCTCAGAGAAGCCTTCCTTGATCTCTCTCCCTCCTCCCCAATCCCACATGGCATCTGGCACCATCTGAAATTACCTTGATTATTTATTTATTCATGTGGCCTATTGTGTGTCTGTGCCCCAGACCCCCAGATCCAGGAAGGCAGAGACCCTGTCTGTTCCTCTGCCCCAATGTCATCTAAATTTAAGGGTTCAGAGTCTGTCGCCAGGCTCAGCTACTTTGTAGTCTAGGACCATGGGCAAATGATGCCCTCTCTGAGCCTCAGTGGCCTCATCTGTAAAATGGAGTTAATAACAGTGTCCATTCTGAGGGATATTGTTGAGGATGAAAGGTATCAGAACAGAACCAGAACGAGGAAAAAAAAACAAAACAAAACCAGAGGCAGGACGAACAGTGAGAGCTCAGTAAATGTTGGGTACTATTGGTCACCACCGTATCCCTGAGGAGGAATTAGGAGAGGACTCAGCTCAGGCCCCATGGGCCTCAAGCACCACCAGCCCCAACCCATTCCCTCCCACCCTGCACCCCCCCCCCCAAGTCAAGCCTGGTCTCTTCCTTGGGGAAGCACAGCTCACCTGATGCATGCCTGGGCCGGCACACCCACCAAGCAGGTTCTGCTCCCAGGGCCCTCACACAGGGGCTGCCCCGCCCTGGTCTGCACCCAGTCTCACAGCAGAGTCAGTGCCTGCAAGAGGACAAAATGCCTAACATGGTCCCCTCAGACCCCCACCCACCTAGAGGGCTGGAGGACCACAGTGGCGGGGGGAGGGGTTCCATTCTGCCCTCTCCACCCCCTTCAGACCAATTCTGAGGCATGAATGCGGCTGGCAGGGAGGTGCAAACTGACAACTTTCCCCCTGGCCAGAGACCAGAGCAGTCACAGTTTGGGGGATCTCAAACTGGAGGCCCAAGGGCCAAGTGTGGCCCACAACCCCAGGCCTGTTTGCTTAGCTCAGAGTCTTCCCATTCAAACAACCCTCTGACCTGGCCAGAAACACTGTACTTTTTTGTTGGTAAATTTGTTGCTCGAAGGGGTACAGATTAATAGCTCTGGGACTATTTATATGCTAGTGTTGAACAAATAAGTACATATGGTAGATCCTCACGGCCAGGGTTTCACGCTGTTGCAGAGGGAAGTTGCAAATAAGCAAGGTGGGGGTGCCCAGCTGGCTTAGGCGGTGGAGCGGTAGAGCGTACCAACTCTTAATCTCAGGGTGGTAGGTTTGAGCCCCACGTTGGGTGTCGACATTACTTAAAAATAAAATCTTAAAAAAACAACAACAACAATGTGGTGCTGGACTGTGGTTAGCAGTATGACATGTTTTATTTTAATAGATATAAGGGGCGCCTGGGTGGCTCAGTCGGTTAAGGATCTGCCTTTGGCTCAGGTCATGATCCCAGGGTCCTGGAATCGAGTTCCACATCGGGTTCCCTGCTCAGTGGGGAACCTCCTTCTCCCTCTCCCTCTCCTTCTGCTGCTCCCCCTGCTTGTGCGTGCTCTCTCTCTCTCTCTCTGACAAATAAATAAATAAAATCTTTTTTTTAAAAGACAGATATGAAAATAAATATAAATGTGTGTATACATGGCTTAGTAAACACACACATATTCCCTAGTGCTATCTGCTGAAGGTTCAGAAGCATTGATACTCTAGAAAAAAAATGAGTACACTCAGCCCCTGGGTCTTGGTCTTTAAATACCATTTTCCAATGCAGGGACCCAGGGCTGGAGAAATGGCTGATTCTAGGGCTAGGGCAGAGAAAATACCAAGCCTGGACACTTTCCCAGAAAGTCCTTAAAACAAGCTGAAAGGACACAGGAGCCAACCTGAAAGAACTTCTCTTGGCCAAAGCTGGATCAATCTGAGAATAAAGTGAATAAGCGTAGTATTGGATTATAACCCAAACGATGAAATAAATGTCCACAAGTCCATACTGATTAAAAATACATGATTAAATCCATTTAAAAATGGAGGAGAAGGGTCAAATCTCCCTGACTGGAGACTTTCAATTAATAAATGTGGAATGAGGGGCGCCAGGGTGGCTCAGTCGGTTAAGTGTCTGGCTCTTGGTTTTGGCTCAGGTGGTGATCTCAGGGTCCATGAGATCAAGCCTCGCATGGGGCTCCATACTCAGCTCAGAATCTGCTGGAGAGTCTCTCTCCCTCTCCCTCTCCCTCTGCTCCTCCCCCGTTCTGCCCACGCATGCTCTCTCTCTCAAATAGACAAATAAAATCTTAAAAAAAAAAATAAATGTAGAGGGGCGCCTGGGTGGCTCAGTTGGTTAAGCGACTGCCTTCGGCTCAGGTCATGATCCTGGAGTCCCGGGATCGAGTCCCGCATCGGGCTC